GATCTCACATGGGGAAGGTATAAAAATACCCACCCCACAACAAAAGGTCTTGGAGGCACCAGGAGAGGGGCCCTAGCTTGGCAGAGTTGGTCTGTATGGATGGTTGGGTCCCCAGATGGTGCACAACAGTCAGGGCACCCTGTGAGATCTGCTGCTAGCACAGCCTGCTCCCAAAAGGGTTTCCTGAATACTCTCCTCGTGGGCTATGCAGTCAGCTAAGAGTACAAGGTGACCTACTGGGATCCTTCATCCTTTTCCAGCATGAGAAGTCCCATAGCATGCATGTCTAGGGAGGGTGTACAGGCAAGATAAAAGAGCATCAGAAGAAGTAAATATTTCCACAGCATGATTTGGGGGTTAGATCTCTACTGAAACACTGCCTGGCTGGGTGTGGTAAGGAGATGCAAGGTCCAAGAAGGAGCTCTGCAAGGCTGGCACTGTATGGGGACTACTGTTGCAGAATTCAATAGACAGCAGGCAATAATCTGCTCCTTACCTTCTGAAGAAGGCAGCATGAGTGACCCCACATGAAAGGTGAGCAATGGGGAGTCCATCAAAATCTGCAAGCTGTGGTCCAAGAAGTCCCTAGTCCTGGTGATGCCAGCAGCATCTAGCACATTGATGACAAAGGAGGAGACCTGTTGAAAATGAGATTTCAATCTGTACTCCAGCGACACCACAGTTTGAATGCAGTGCCTTAGCCTGGTTAGCTAACCAGTAGCTTCAATATAGCCTTATTCCAGTTCTTACAGTTGCAGAGGTAGACATAGGGTAAGTTCTTGCTCCTTGAAGAAACTTGACAGTTTCTAAACTCCCAGGCCAACAGTTTCAACAGTTGCTTCTGATTTTTGATACCTCCTTTTGGGGTCTGCATTTTGGGTCACATTTCAATTTCTATATGAGCATGCTTAATCAGTACTTTGACAAGCAGGGCTGGCACATCTCAACTGGCTCACTCCAAAGTCCAGATGTTTCAGAGGATTGGCTGCTTGTGTATAATTAAATGGGTGTTATTTATTGAGCTGGCAGCAGAAGACAGTCTGTAGCACAAAGCTCTGAGCTGCCCAACAGGTCAGAGTTCCAGTGTTTTGGTTTCTCAGTATTGCTGGATTGCCACTGTTTAAACAGCAAAGTTGACCCCACCCCAAAATGTGCCATAAAGGGGCAGGAAAGAGAACTTTGTCCTTAAACTTTCCAAACTCCAGTTTGTGAGTAATCTACATACATCTCATTAGCTGCAATCTGGAAACTCTCTATTGCTTTTAATTGTTGGCATGGTGAACATCAAGATTTTAGCACGACAGGAAAGTAAATGCAGCTCTGCTGGGCCCCTCAAAACACATGACTATTCTGCATTTGTGGCTCTTGATTCTTCTGCCACACTGTTCCTTTGACTGACAATGTCACATTACACATAGTATATTATTTTAGAAACAGTTGTCTACTAAACATAAAAGCCTTCGTGGTTTTGTCAGTTGAACTGAAGCAGACAGCGTTTATTGCTGCATAGGAGATTAATAATAAAAAAAATAAATAAACAGCCTCCCTCATCAGTTGCTCGAGGAACACAGATGGACCTTTCTGAAAGGAGGAACCTAGATGCATTGGAACAAAGGATATTTGATAATCATATCCCAATACAGAAAAATCTATGCCTTCCCAGAAATGCTAAATGCTGCTTTGCCACCTCTCTTTTAACCTTTGATTCTTCATTGTGGAGTGCTCTGTACTCCTTGTACTCCTTAGAGACCTAAGGTTTTGTTTTTTCTAAAACTCAGTGCTTCCTGATGAATGCTGGCACTCAGGGGCAAACACATGAAGTAAGAAGGAATCTTACATACCTTTTTCAGCCACACACTGGAATAAAAAATAAGAAAAATCCACTTCCTGAGTATCCAAGGGACCCAGTACCTACCTGGTTTAAGAAAAAAAGGATACGATTCCACGAACAACATTCTCAAGGCTCTATGAACACTGAAAAAAATACAGAGTCTTGACTTTTTAACCTTATCCCATGAATCCATTCCACATCCTTGTGCTTCTAGCCTTATTTCCCACAGAGAATGAAATTTCTGTGATCATGCCATCTGGCTGTCTATCAGCCAGTATGTTCCGAACCTGCTTTCTATCAAACTGACAGAGGGATTGGGACTCAAAGAGAATTAATGCCTATGAAATTCATGAAATCAGCAGCTGGGTCAAAGACGGAGGTCCAAACGAGTGCCCCGGCTATGGGAAAGGCAGGCAGAACACAGCCATTTTACACGCTACTTGCTAATGTCAGTCATCACGTGCGCGGCTCTGGACTCACCAGAGCAGATGGTGCTTCTTGCTCAGTGAGAGAGGGCTTACAGTTGGTGTAGTGAGCAGTACGGGTGAGAGAAGGAGAGGAAGAGGCAACAGGACACACCTGCAGGAAAGCAGGTCTCATTAGGTCCACAGAACAATGTGTTTAATGATAAACTTCCACTTACTCACATAACCGTGCTGCTCCTGTGCTTCCTGAGGGCCCTGCAAAGATGTGGATCTATTTCTCATGGAGAAGGCTGACAGGCAATCACTGCCTCTTCACTCCCACACTTGAACCTGTCCGGCTGAGGTCCTACTGCTTCCACTGCTCAGGGCCAGAGTGAAACTCGAAGCAGCTTCCAGGGCTCTGGAGATAATAGGCTTGCTCTTTGAAACCATATAAAGGATATTAAAAGTTAGAATGGAAAGTACAGCCCAATTCAAAGTTTCCCTAAAGAAAAAATCCCAACCAGGCAAAGTTTAGAAGCAAAATGATTTCTCTTTCCCCAGCAAAGGGAGTTTCAGTTTTTGTTTTTCTTATCTTGCTCTCTTGCTTCACATACTGTGCTGTGGAACAGCAGCTGAGCTTGCAAATACTTCTGGAGGAAAAGGGCTGTTTTCCTTGAAGCTATGCCTGTCCTAGAGGGAAAAAGTGTGTGTTTTTAAAAGTCCTAACTCCTGTATTTTAATCATGTATTTTAACTAACCAAGGAATAATGTTGTTTAACATCACCTTGTCAAGCGTGTGTGGCATGTACATTTCCCAGACCAAACTGAAGCCTGACCTGCTATGCTTTCCTTCAGTGCACTTCTGTGTGGGCAAACTTGTGACCTAAGCCTTAGGCATGCCACAGACTACATCTGGTCAGGCCGTTTTGGGAAAGATTGCTGTGGGATGACCCACAGCAGGGGCAGGAGCTTTCTGTGTTTTGTTCACTGAGGGCTTCCCTGCAATGAAAAGGGAGGCAGATAAGCTTTTTGCCTCTTGGCTGGTTTATGACAGATAAATATGTAGCTCTGCAGGACTCACAGAAAGAGGCACTTGGGTAAAAAGCTGAGTGCCCTTCTTGGAGGTGGGCTTAATGTATAACTGACTCATGGGGAGAGGAGAGCCATCATTTTACCAAAGAACAGATGTGAAATATATTAACTGGAGCCCTCTTCTCTCCAAGATTTCCTTCAGCAACCCCCCTTCACTTCTGTCTTCTCAAGGACTCTCTTATTTCACACAGGAGAAAGAAGTGAGAGTTCAGGATTTTCTCTTCCTCTCAAGAGATCCACTGGGATTTCTACTTCATTTGTACCTTCTAAGTAATGGATTGAGGTCCTTGAAAACAGAAAACATGAAGAGTAAAGAAAGCTTAAAGCTTGTTACATTTACAATGCAGGTCAATGAAGACAGAAGCAAAAAGCTTTAAAAATAACTAGGCTATTTCAATAGCGAAGCCCCTGCTGAAACTGCTGTCTGACTTCCCTCACAGAACAGATTGGAGTTTCTGAAAGTGTTACCTACCCACAGTGCTTACCCCGTCTCAGTTGGACTTCTGCATGCTGAAGACTTGTCAAATTGACTTCTCTCAATGCTTTCTAGAGGTTATTTGGTTTTAGGGTGCCCAGTTTGATGTGGCTTTCAGGAACTTGGTTTTCAAAAGGGGCTGACCATGTACTCTTCCCCCATCAAAACTCCAAAAACCCCCTCCTAACTGGCTTCTCTCTAGTGTGATCTCAGTAGCCTAAGGACAGGAGCCACAACTGTTTTCCAAAAATAACACGTCAGCAACTTTCAGTTTCATGATTTGTAAATGCTTCTGTGACCAACCTCAGACTTCCTCAAAAATTCTCCAGGGGGCAACAGCATTTACAGATCACAAGGAAAGGACCTTTTTTGTTTGGTTGGTTTTTTTCAACTATGTTGAGGGGATGTCCAGATGATTCCTCTTCTGAGAGCTGCCTTGATTTTTATTTTTTTCATGAGGAAATTTTCCAGCATATAATTTGGTAGAATTATGTCTCCAGCTGCTCCTGAGTGTCTTGAAAATGACACTAAGAAGAGATACTACTTGACATCATGAGTGCCTACGTGGGGAGTTACATGTGTAACACTACAGAAACATAGTGTGCATTGCTCAAACTTGCTGTAAATTCCTCTATAGCCCTTAGACCCAAGTCACAGTGTCTTTGTGGTGTTACAACCTACGGGCTTAAATGCGGTTTCAGAAATGTCACTTCATATGGTCAACCTAGATACTAGTCTGTTAGATCTGCAGAGAGAAGGTTGAGAGGGGATTTTGGGGGACTGATAAAACCTTTCCCCTGCTGTTTTGTTACCCGAGAGATTATTTCAGTGCTGATTTCAATTCAGCCCTTCACGCTGACCCACAGTACCCCGTAATCAACCTTATTTCAGTTCAGATCAACACAAAGAGAGGAAAAAAAAAAAAGAAGGAAAAAAAAAAAAGGAGGCGAGGTGCTACCAGTGCCGGCAGTTGCAGAAATTGTAATGATCTAACAGATTTAATGGGAGGAGCACTGGCTTCTATATGTAGGGATTTTCCCTGTGACGAGGAACTTTGAGTAAGCCACCTAGGGGATTTCCCAGTCTGCCTCCAGAAATACCACTCTAGAAGCAGTAGCACTTTCACTCTGTTCTCACAGTCCATCCTGTGCAGAGGCACGTTGCTGCTGCTCTCTGATTTGAAGCAGTAAAAGCCATGTCTTTGGTAGTCTACACTCTACTCATCATTCTGTGCAATGGTAAGTGGGAAGCTTTGCATTTTTTCTTTGTGGTCTGTCACAGTTATTTTGTGTGGATATGTTTTGGGAACACAGGGACAATCTCTTTTAAAGACAATGTGTACCTGTGCTTTGCAGTTTGGTGCTTGATCCGTGGGGCTTCTGTGGCTGTCCCAGACATTGCTGTGAGATGTGCTGAAGAAGCGTTGCTGCCCTGTAAAGTTCTTCGGGACACTTCAATCACCTACCAGACAGTGTCTTGGTATAAAGTAAGTAAAAAGCATAAGTATATAAGCATAAGAGCAGTCTGGTTTGCTTTCCTACTTGATGCTGGCTTGTCTTATATAAAATGTGTTATTTTATGAAGAGGCATCCTCCTGCCAGTACAGCAGAGATAAGGCAACAATTAAAGCATTTGAGCTGATCTTGGAGAACATGCATTTTCCATGTCATTGTAGACAGACTATTTGAGTGTGATCCTTGAATTGCTCTTGGCCTGTTCTAACTATTGCTGGCTTCCAGGGATCAGAATTCAGGGGATGCCCCACGTACAGCCTGTCAAATACTATTCCAAAGATTTTTCTTCAGAGCAAAAGATGGTACTTAAACCTTGCAACATCAATTGTCTGTCGGGGGTGGGCATAAAGGCAAGTGGAAAGCTAGAAATTCTGAGTTAGCTTTTAGCAGTCCTGAAGTAAAAGTTACATCTTGACTGCCCATTTCTAAAGAAGGAGAGCCCTGCTGACTCTGTTGCAGGAGAGACTACAAGAATCAATCGGCTAATAAGCAGAAAAGTCCTGCTCAACACTTCTGAAATGACATATCTCAGAGAGAGAGAGGCAGAGTTGCCCAGTGGTTGAAGAACTAGGTGCTGACTTGCTGTGTGGCACCATATGTTATACCTCAGTGCATAGTTTCAGTTTATGGGATGAGCCAAATTAACATGCAAAAAGGTAAAGTTTTATTGTCCCCTATCTCCCACTCCCAGCCATGCACTCCTGCTGCTTACCATGGGCCACTCCTGGTGGTCCTCTGGTTGCCTGTGAAGTCAACTCTGTTGCTTGTTGTAATAGTGGAAACTCAATCTGCAAATAAAGATTTTGTTACAGAGTTGAATTACTTTACCATGTAATGGGAGAACAGTGGAAAGGAAAAATACCTATTTTTGCTGGGTGAAAACTGCTCATTTATCTCTGTCAGAACATAAAGCCACAGCCTTGGCTTCCCCAGCAGTTTGGTCAGATAGAATTTTAAAATTATTCCCTGCAGTAAACAAACAAACAGTGTTATCAGATAGGGCTTCTGTGGTTGAAACTTGCAATGTATTTGAGTTTCAGTGCTTGTACAACAATGAGCATCTGCCTACTGACTAGATGACAACTGCAACCCAAAGGTACCTAAGCCTGGAAGAGCTGTTTTGAACATCTGGCTACCAGCCCATCAGCAAGTGCAGCATCTATAGTCCCCTTTTTCCAAAATACTGAACTAGGCATGGGAGGGAGATAGAGAGGAGAGAATAGTGCAGTTGGTTGATCATTACTATATGAGCTGGGATAGGTGTCAGCTTATTCTTTTTTGCATTTTCTGCTTTAAAAGCTGCATAAGGACATGTATTTTCCCCACAGACACATGCTAATTATTTAAGGCCCCATGTTCCTCGCCGAGTTTAGGCAGGGCAGGGAGCTCATTGCAGGCAAAGCATGTGTCTGGTGGACCTGGAGGAGTTGAGCAGAAGTGGTAAAGGATGGGAGAGGAATAAACAATGAGGTTGACTGGATCCCTGAAAACTCTCCCCAAAATCAGTGTCAGAAGTCAAGAATAGTGAAGACAGTTTCAGTAGGCTGAAGCTGTGGGGGTCCTCTAGAATCGTCCTTCCCCAAGTTCAGTGGCAGGTGGAATGGCCAGGCAGCTAACAGGAGCCAAAAGCCATTGTCCTGATGAAACAGTGTAAGGAAACCCTGTAGACCCAATTCTGTGTTGTCTTGCAGCTCTTTACAGTTCCACCTGGGCACAAAATGACCACACATGCTGGGAAGGGTGATATTTGATGATGTCTTTTGTGTGTGCCCCTTCCTCGACAGCCCTCACTAATGCTGCTTACCTTTGCAGCAGTCAGGCTGCTACAGTCCAGACTGTCACTGCACATTCCCTGCCCTGTCCCATCAATCACTTCTCTCTCCATGGTCTCCTCACTTTTCCTCCTTCATACATTTCACTCAGGAAAAGGCTGTTTTTCCAGTGCCCAGCATGACTGAAACTCATGGGGTTTTTTTATTCTGATGGCACTGCCAAACCTACAAGAAGAAACAAAATCTAGCTATATTCAGCTCTTGCCACCATCCTCAGGGGATGACAGCACCAGTCACGGTACTGTAGTTCTCTGGTTACTCATCCCAGGAGAGAGGTAGGAAGTGGGATCAGACAGTTAATGCCTAGTGATGCTAGCCCCGGCCACGGCCACAGCCATATTAGGAAACGCACAGTACCAAAGCTGATGAGCCTGACTCTTCGCAGGAAAAAGTAATTTAGGTTTACTCTTTTGTGCTGAAGAAGTAATGCTTCTACTTGTGAGGCTCCTAAATAGGTCCCAACTTGAAGCCTTGCCTCCTCTCCTCATTTTGGCTGTGTGCTGCTATCCCCATCCAACCCTGCAAAAGGAGTGCAGGGGAATGGTGCAGCATGACTGGGCTACCCAACATAGAGAATTAATCTGTTATTTAAAAAAACAGCTACTGAAGGATTAATCAATAAACACCACATAGATCCCCAAAGGGCTAATTAGAAGGTAATTCCAACAAACGGTATGAAATTTCAGACTGTAAAGTTCAAGCAGCTGTTAGGCTAAATCTTTTGTAGGAGGTCACTTTGAACTGTGCAGTTAATGCAAGCAATTAACCTTTGCTTCTGCTTTAAAAAAAAATGATGGTGACAATGTTATGGAGCTGCACATGCAGCTGCTCTTGCAGGGTGAACGCTCAGTGAACAAACCCCTCCTTTCTGCTGGCACCTCTGCATGCTTTGACCAGTTAAGGGGTACTTCTAAATAGTTTGTTGTAATCTGCTTAAAAAAAGAGAGATACTATTTAAAAGTACTTGTTTTTTCAGTTCTGTATGGAGAAGTAATTGTTTAAAGGAGTTAATATTCTGGTGTGAAAATTCCACTAGATTGCATTCATCAGTTCCTTCACTTCTGCTGATTCTTGTACTACAGAAAGGTGTGCATGTGTTTAACCCGTTGTGCACCCAGTATCCTTGGAGCTGATTAGATTATTTGCATATGTGAGTGTATGCAAATACATGAGCTATGAGTGTAAGTAGTTCTGTTCAGAATCAGGACCAGAGTCACTCAGCTCAGACAAAATGATTTTTACTTGGAAATACTTGAAGTAGGCAGGCCTAGTGTACTGGGGAGAAGGTAGAGCACCAAGTCCTCTTCCAGCCTGGTGCAGCTCTCATCCCATTCACTATATGACAATGAAAAATTTAGGAAGTTCATAATGATGATACCATTTAAGGGTGATTCTTTTTTTAGGAATGCTGGGCTTCCCTACATGCCATAATACTGTACATGAAAAATGTGGAAGTTTGCCGAGTGAGACCTGACATCTAGGTCATTTTTGCATGCACCCAGGCTCTGGGAATTGCATATGGAAATACTAGTTTGAATTGGCCCACCTAAGAAACAAGAATCTGGGTAATGGAACTTTACTTCCCTTTTTGCCTTGTAAGGCCATTGAAAACTGAACAGTTTCTCTTTGCATAGCATGTTGAAAATGAGAACCACTTCATAAACCTTCATAATTATCACTACATATTCAGTTTGAAAACCAAGTTTAAACACACGCAAATGAAGTCCCAGTGGATATTTCCCTATTTGGTCCATGAGATAGCCAGAAAACTCTTAATCTAAATCAAATCTTGAGGAAGAGGAAAGAAGGCTGCACTTCAGTGAAGTCTGTTAACTCTATAAAACTTCCCTGAAAAATATAAAATCGTGGCAGAATCAGAGGGGGAAGTCATATTACAAAGTAAGAATAAACCTTATAGACATTTTCCTTCAAAGGAAATTACTTTTGCTAAATGTGCATAGCTATTTTCTATTATCATAGATAGTCGCCAAATTGCTTCAGTCTGATTTCTAACATACCTGAAGAAATGCAGTGAAATTCCTCAGACATCTCTTCAGCTCCAAGTAGCTCCAAACATTGATGATTTAGACAAGAAGGGAGCAGTGGAAATGTTTTCCTGACCAAAACAATTCTTTTGCCTGACATGAGCTAGCACTGGATGCCCTTAGCCAAAAAAACCCCAACAAAACAATACAGGCTGTGTGACTGACTCAGAGGGCTTTTCCAGCTGGCTCACATGTCATGAAGTTTGTTTGCTGTTGTTTTGGGTTTTGGTTTCTCTTTTCTTCCCCCCCTCCTCACTTCTTTCTCCTCCTTAACACCCCCCCCCCCCCAAAAAAAAAAAAAAAGTCAAATTTCACTCACATAAGCCCACAATATATGTTAGATGTTTTCATATCTAACACTGGTATCTCTACATGACACTGTATAGAAGCCATATGGATGCACCTTCAGCACTAATCAAATGTGAAAGTGTTTTTGTGCTGAAAAATACACCTATTAAGTGGTTTCAGCTCAGTTGTGACTCATTATATGTTGGCTGTCAGGCATTGCCAGAATTCTAGATATTTTGCTTCCAGAAATACATTCCTTCTGGCTCTATATAGTTTTCAGATCTCTTGCAGTCAGAAATTTCAGCTTGGCCACTATTCCTGGTATAATTTTAAACAAAACCATTTTTACAATCATCCCACCCTCAAAAGAAAATAAGTCAATGCTAATTCAGTCCACTCTTATACTGACATCAGTTTTGGACCTGAACCATTTTTCTTTAAATAAGAATTTACTTTATGGGATAAGTGGACAATATTGGTACTTTGGGAGCCAACATACCACCTTAATCTGGGAAAAGTTCGATGAGAAGAGGTATTTAATAGGAGTAGAGAACAGAAGCTAACAACTGCTTGATCTCACATGTACATGATAAAATTAAGTTTTAATCGATTGGTTTGGTGTAAGTACTACAGAATGGGTGAATTGCCTTTGTCTAGTGGCACTGTCATGTAATGGTGTAGCAGCTTTCAAAACTGCAGCTAAAACCCAGCCAGCTAGGAATGAGAAAAGTGTTCCTCCCCCTTCTTCCACCTTGTTTTTAGTTCTCTGAAGAAGAAATATTTGCTTAAGAACATTTAAATTTCGGAGGCCTAATTATTCTACCTATTTCTCATAATTCATCGAGTCAGAGAACAGAAAATATCAGCTCAGTGGTATTCTCAAACAAACTTATGCCATTTTAATAGCCACTGTATCACCACCACTATTCTTAACAAAAAGCTTTGGGTTAGGAAAAGCTTAACAGGAATTGGTCTGTTGACTAGAGAATACATGTTGGAAAATTTCAACCTCTTTAGACCAAGTGTTTCCAAGCTTTTGGGAACTAGAATAACTTTCAGTTAAACTCACTGAAATAATATTGATAAGATGCCCCTGAGGCTGGTCTTTTCCAGGCTTAACAGTCCCAGCTCTCTTAGCCTTTCCTCTTATGTCAGATGCTCCAAATCTTTAATCATCTTTGTGGCCTTTCACTGGATTCTTTCCAATATGTCCCTTTCTCTCTTGTACTGGAGACCCCAGCGCTGGGCCCAGTACTCCAGGTGTGTCTCACCTGAGCTGAGCAGAGGGGAAGCATCACCTCCCTCAGCCTGCTGGAGATGCTCTCTTGAGTGCAGCCCAGGAAGCTTTGCCACAAGGGCTCATCAATGGCTCATGGTCAACTTGATGTCCACCAGGACATCAGGGCCTTTCTAACAGGTTGGCCCAGCCTGTTCTGGTGCACGGATTTGTTCCTCCCAAGGGGCAGGACTTGCCATTTCCATTTGCTGAACATCATGAGGTTGCCCTCAGCCCATGTCCCCATCCTGCTGAGATCCCTTTGGATGGCAGCACAAGTCTCTGGTGCAACAGCCACTCCTCCCAGCTTTGTATTATCTGTAAACTTGCTGAGCACGTGCTCTATCCCAGTGTTCAGGTTGCTAAAGAAGGTGTTGGACAGTATCAGCCCCTGGGGATAGCATTTACTCTCATTGCTATGGAGGTGATGGAAAACCACAGACTTAGGCCCACAGCAGATTTCGGAAAAAACCTGTCACAGACATTGCTGCTGGCCAATGTTTATGTGACAACAAACATACACTCACGTTTCTTTTGTTGTTTAATTTTCTTAGTGGATAGTTTTATGCAGATAGGCAGAATGGTGCTGCCAGCCTGCAGGTCCCTGTTTCCCAGCAAAATTCTTGCTTCAGTAACCTCCAGCAGCCAGCATGGCAACGAAACTCTTTTAATGCAAATGGATTCAGTACCATTTCTACTGCTCCTGCACAGTCATCACTTGCCTTTTGAATTTTGGTAAGCAAACACAGAAGCAGGAAAAGACCACCTTCCTTTTCTCCTCCTTTTGGAGCTGGGGAGCATGGGCAGCCAGCGTGCTGCTGCTTGCTCACCAGTAAGGTAGAAGAGAAATGAATGCAAAGGAAACGCAGGAGGAAAATGTTTTTTCGCTGCTTAAAGCTGGTCCCTACACAAGTGCATTGCTGCTACTGACAGTGCTCACCTCGATCCCGCTAAGCTTGTGTGGAATTAATTAGGTAAACCCCCTAGCATTTACCTTGGGCTGTGGTATCACCTGGAGGACACTTGGCATGAATTAGTGCCGGATTATCATAGGAGCTTGAGCTGCAAAATGATCTGTCTAGTGAGAGTCTGCCAAGTAATTCACAGGAGGTGGCAAACAAAGTGGCATTTTTGTAATTTTAATTCGGTTTTTGGGGAAAAGAGGTTAGCTTGAATAGAGGAAGAGGCAGAATGATGACCTTACTGAACATCTCATGGACTTCCTTTTACACAGCTGGGATATGGGGACATGCTCTGCAAATTTGCTCAGGCGATTCCTCACTACTTAGAGAATTTAAAAAGGGAGGGGTTGATGTTTTTTAATAAGATAATAGGAGCTAAGATTGCAGTGGAAAAAGGCTTGGATCAGGCATCAGAGAAAGGGTTGCTGTGACCTCTGAGTAGGGATGGATGCATTGGGTGGAGAGGCTGGAAAAATGCCACCAGATGTCTCTCTAGCCTAAAAAAAGGCCGCAGCAGCACCGCCATGGATTGCGTTGCCGGCTTTGCTCTTCAGTAAAGGGGAGATTTAATGGAGGAGAGGCGTCCAAACCCCGAATTAAACCCACATGGATGAACCGTTCCTTCTCCTTCCAAAATACAGAGGTTCGACACCCCCTCCAGATTGCTACTGGTTTCCTCACAAGTAATCAGGTTACAAAGTAACATTTTCTTCTATTCTGGGGAAAGGCATGTTAGCGCAGCTTTACCCTCACTGCTTTGCCTTACACATAGTGGCTCTGTGTAAGGCGAAGTTCTGACTTGCTTTTCTCCAAGGTCACCATCATTATACTTGTGACAGCATCTGAGCACCTCACAAAGCTTTGGAGGCAATAATCAACCCTATCCCTCAGTGTACCCCATAAAATTGGGAAGTTAAATCATTTACCGAAATTCTCACTGGCAATAAGCGCATGGTCAGCCATAGGATGCATGGACTTAATTGACTTCACCCTTATGCTAGCAGTGCTGCTTATGATTGCATACAGAAAGATTCGCAGGTCTCAGCCACAAGAGTCACAGCACCATTTACCAACCAATATAGCAATTATTATGCTACCAATGAATTAAAAACTGACCCAAACAACGAAACAAATGAAAACTAATTTTCTGTGTATAGCTTGGACATCCTATCTGTGTTTTAGGGCAATGCGAAGGGCAGCCAGGCTGGTTCTCTTTATTGTCCTGTAGGAGTTTTAAATTTCACTGAGGAAGGGGGTGGTAAGGGAAGTGAGAATGGCAAAAATTAGATCTGATGGAGGTCAACTCTATTCACTTAACTGCTATTGACCCACTTGTAACTAGAGCTGAGCCTAACCTGGGTATTGGAATTCCTCTGGCCACATCTCTGACTGATTGCAGGACCTGAATATATCTAAATTCTTGTAGCACAGTGAAGTCCCTACAGCCTGAAAACCACCAGAGATGCTCTTTGTCTCAGAGCTGCTTGGGACTGAGTGTAGTAAGGAGAAGCTGGGGCAAATTTCCTGGGGAAATAAAAGTAAGAAGGTACTTTCTTCCCTCTTGCTGGGTGGAATGTGGAAAGCCCCAGGGAATTACTGCTTTGTGTTTCAGTTAATACACTAAAAAAACCCAGACCTTTCTGAGAAAAGATCTTTACAGTTATGAAAATCTTGTCCTTTAGTATGATTCCCCAGTTCCTGAAAAGCTCCCAAACTTGCAGCTTGTTTTACACTATGTTAGGGCTGCATAAGTAGAGAAATATAAAGGAGCATCAGGCCCATAGCTCTCTTCAGGCTCCCAAGTACACTTTCTTCATGCAAATACATGAAAGGGAAACCAGATACTCTTAGCCTCAGTATGAGAAAATTGTGTTAATCTTAATAACTTACAGTGTAACTGTTATACCCTGATGCAGTAGCTATACCAATAGAAAGTAAGCACCAACATGCAATCCAAAAATGTGTCTATTAAAATAAAACAACAATAATAAAAAAGCCTTGGCTTACATTAATTATAGGTTTTGCTGAAAAGCCAGGACTTGGACTGTATGAGCTTGCTCTGGCTCTGCTAGTCCACAGAAAGACTGAATTCATTACTTGGGAAACCTTCATGGAGGGCATGCTGCCTCAAATCCCAGGGAGCTATGTCAATGAATAAGAATGGACATGGGCTAATTCAAACCCTTCTCCCATCTTTCACATCAAGTTAGTGATTTCTCTCTTCTTTGTGGTTCCCAGCCAATTGTCATTTTCAGTGCATCCTATAGCCCTGCAGTACAAACTGTTCTGGGAATACACTTCATTCCTCCAGCAGCCTCTCAGCAATGCCAAGGAATGTAGCTCTTCTGGTTACAATTAAGAAATTCAACATACAAATGCTCCCCAAGTGCACCAGAACCTGCCTGTGACCTTCACGCAACCGAATCTGAAGGAGTCGAAGCAATTTTTTGTTCTTTGGTTCCAATAAAGAGTGGAGGGGAGCGGAAGGGGGAAAACCCCCATTCCTCCAGAGAGGCACCGTGGTTTCAGGGGTCAGCTGCACAGAAACTGGCATGGGGAAGTGCAGTTTCCAGGGCTGCATTCCCACAAGGAGCTCAGGGCTGCAGGGTTGCTGGGAGGATGCCAGCCTGTGCTGGCAGAGCTGCTACACTGCAGCGTGCCTGCTGGGTACGCAGGTCGAATTCCCATCACTGCATGGCAGAAAGTGTGCTGGCAGGGCGAGCGCAGGTAGTGGTGGAGTTTACCTGCCTGCTGCCATGCTCTCCTGAGGACTTCTGGTCCCCAGAGCCAGCACTAAGCAGCTAGGTATGGCTGCCTCTTGCTGCCTCAGCTCCATCCCCATGGACTGTCTCTCTCTGTTTGAACTCTTTTGGGGCCTCAGCGTAGACACTTTGAGAGCAAACTCTTCCCCTGCCTTTCATTGTGTAAAATCTGTACTAGGATTGTGTCCAGGTGAGGCAGATTAAGAAGCTATAACAGAATAGCTTTATAGTATCTGTCTATAAATGTAGTGTCTATTTTGTAAAAAAGCAAATATATTTTGATTGCAAACATGAATCTACTGATGCTTTTGAGGTTCCCCCTCTACCCCACCTCTCCCCAGCTTCTGCATTTTAAGCCATAGGGTGGCTTTAAAACTCTCTTTCCCCTAAAACTCAGCATGACACTGTTGCCCAAGATGAGAAATATATTTGTGTTTTCCAGATGGCTGGAGAAGGCAAAGGAATAGCATGGAAAGTCCTTGATGTGGAATCTCAATATCCCAAAGAACTTGGGGGGTCCCTGGAGCTCTCCAATGACACCTTCTTTTCACTGAGGATCAAAAACGTGACCAGCCAAAACAGTGGGACATATAAGTGCACTTTGGGGGAACAGAGAGGAGAACACAATCTGAGCAGCACAGTCACATTAAAAGTAACAGGTACAGTAGAGACTTTTGACTGTCCCATGCTTTGCATTGCATCTCATGAAGGTAACAGTTAAAAATATTTTACAAACACCAGAACAATGTAACACCTTGCTTTACATTTAGGTTGCCCTGGAATAGAAGATGAAAAATTAAAAAAACACAAAGCTGAGCTTTTCATGCTGACTTGCCTTGGGATTTTTTATTTGCTGCTCATCTTTTTCACCTGTGTAAGTAATTCCCTTTCTTATAAACAATCCAACTAAAAACAACAAATAAACCCCCTGTTCATTTTCTCTGCTAGCACTATCTTAACACAGGCAGTCAGAAGTTGGTGTTCATCTCTTAATTTGTGATCACCTCCTTTAAACACTCACACAGCGTTTTCAAAGCCAGAGGAAACTCAGGTGTACAAGTAACACAGGATGGAGTCCCTAAGAGATAAAACATTTCACTGCACACTGACCTAAGTCAAATCAGACAGTTGTTTTCCTGCTCCCTACTGCCCATTTCTGCTTCCAGTTCCTCTGAATGCAGGCTACTCTTCAGTTTAAGGGCAGATCAGCGCCTCTTCTGGTTTGGTACCTGGGAACAGCATTTGCCCAGGATGGAGGCACAGGCCTTTGGGATCCCTTCCCTACCTACGGCATTGCTTTGTGTGCTGGCATGATGGACAAGTTCAAGTCCACCCGTTTTTTGTCTCAGTTTCCATACCAGTAAATTGGTGATAACCCCTTTTCGGATGGGAATTTTTGTGAAGCTACATCTTCATTATTAAACAGACATTTTTAAATCCTTGGAAAATAACATCTTGGGGTTTTATCCATGCCCTTAATCTTGGCTGGTAGTCCTGGGAAAGGTGGGGAGAGAAGGTACTTGAGAAGCTCACTTTACAGAAGCGAAACTATGCTTTGCCTGCAGGAGGGGTGAAGTCACCCTCTCGTGCAGAGGTCTGCACCTCCTGGCTTAGAGGCAGCATGAGCCTTGGGTGTCGATACAATGCAACATCAGCTGCATTTCAAACTAAAAACCAAACCAAACCAGCACTTTGGGAGGTCAGATTTAACTTTTGCTGCTTATTTCATATTTGCAATCTTGTTTTGCTCCTCAGCAGATGAATCATAACTGTTGATTGAAGAATATCTAATTAGCAGCAGCTAAATGTAGCTTTTCATGCATCTTCAGGGAGCAATTAAATTTATGCCTGTCTCTTTTTTAGATTGACAATGCTGCCAGTAATCTGTGCCATTCAGACTAAAGTTTGACAAGATAAATCTTGTAGGAATTTGTTAGGATGAAAGTATGAAAGCAAGGATATCACTCAGAAGAGACAGATGCCCCTGTTCTGCTGTGTCCTGAAAGAATTTCAGATCTCTACAGAAACGTCTCCTTCCCATACATAAAAAAAGTCCCAGTTTTAGTGGTTCAGTTAAAAAAAAAGCAGAGCTGTGTAGTTAAGTCAACCACTCTGGTGGAATTACGTGTATCTTACTCTTGGGTGATGTCCAGTCTCAGGTATCAGCCTAGCTTTCATCAAAATTTAATATTGCCCTGATCTCACAAGTGAGCTTCATTATTTAAAATGCCTCTTAAGTTCTTACAGGTTGCTTTGTCCTCTCCTTTAGTGGAGATTGTGCCTTATCTCCACTAAACTCAACAATGACATTAAGACTGTTTGGCAGCATGGGGGCTTTACTTTGACAACGTGATGAAAGTATTTCATGCACCAGCCTATATTGAAGGCAGGTGGAAACACACTTTCAAGAGCTTGATGCAAGGCCTGTTCCTATGAAAACTTGAATTAAATATAAATTTCCCTTTGTGAGTAAGCCTTTTGTCCTATAAAGCTCCTTGACTGAGCAAGAAACAGCAGCTTTTCTTTGTAGTGTGTGCTCTGGTGACAAAAAAAATGGAAAAGGTGTAATAAGCTATGGTTAGCAAGGAGAAAAAGTAAAACTTCCAAACTTTTTTTATAAAAGAGGCCTTTCGTTGTAATTCTTAGTTTTAAGCTTTCTTTTCTGTTTTCTCTTTTAGATGTGTCTAAGAAAAGAGAGCATGTCTCCCAATATTAAAAAACCCAAACCAGATATGCAGCACATGCTCACTCTCATCAATGTACATGAAATGACAACTTTGCAGGCTTTAAACAGCAACAGCACTTGCAAAACTGAGCATACTTCAGGTTCTGTCTAAGTTGATGTTGATGGGACTGTGGGCTCATCAGTAAACACAACATAAGCTGGATGGATGAGTGGTGTGAAGAGGAAATAAACGATAATATACAGCCTCTTCAGAACAGCCTGAAGGTATCAGAAAACTGACGGTGATCTGCTTGTGCTGGACAAGCCTTCGACAATGTTATGCACTACAGTAACTTTGGGGAGCTAGGTGGCTAAGAAATACCATTAGAGCTACACAATGCTGTTACGAAGTTGGTGTCAACTTTATTTTACTCTGCTCTGCAGCTCTCTTGCTCTGAGCAAGAACAGGCCTGCGACATGAAGACTAAGTTACAGGGAGGCCATGGTAGCTCAAAGCTGGGGGTTAAGCTCTTCACCGAACTAATAGCGCTCATCTGTCAGAAGTAAACACAACCGGTGCTGCAGTATGAAAGATAAGTGTGCAGGACTGTTTCTTCTCTGAGCCTGATTCTGGATGTAGTTCCTTCACTGCAAATGGGATGTAACTTGTCATGTGATGTCCAAGTAAGCCAAAGGGGTAACTTCATGGTCTTGTCCTGGGTGGATCAAATCAACATTCACTTTTGAATCTGAGTGACAAACAGGCTGAAACATAAGAAGGCGGAAAATACTCTGGAAATCTTCCTGGACTAAGAGAAACTTTCTATCTCTGCAAGAGAAATAGGGACATATTTCCCAAAGGCATCTCTGGATAGGTCAAACCATAGGAAGCTTCGACAAGACTGTTAACTTAAAACAACAAAAAGAAGAGTGAGGAAGCTTGTGATATTAAGGACATGTAAAGATGACTTGTTTTGAGGTTCATAAACATGAAGCCAAATGTATGTGACACCTATGTCAGTCAAGTTACACAAGTGATGACCATAGCCATGGCTTGGATAAAATCACCCATCCATATCTTTCGGATGTATTAAGTCAGCTGTGAAATGCAGGAATGGAAGATGGGACACATTAGCACTTATTTTTGGTGCTGACAATGTGTATGTATGAGAAATGAGGACATGAGAACAGCTGAACTCAAGAACACAATACAAAACTTGTTCTCTTGTAACAAAGAAAGCAAGAGGAATTCTGGAATCTGAAATCAAGGAGCTTCCCTTATCAGGCTGTTGGTGCAGAAGGTGAAGCAAGAGGAGTCTGGAGTGACTGTGGCTGATTACGCCACATCAGAATTTGAGCCAACACATGAGAATTTGCAAGCACTTAACATAATAATAATAAATTAAAAAAAAAAAAAAAAAAAAAAAAAAAGCCTTCAAGAACTAAACTGCAACATTAGGATTTTTAATGCAGTTTGGAATACCTTGTTGACAAGGAGGCTCTTTGTGTAATCCTTTGACTAATTTTGAGGTGCTGATGTGAAAAAAAGCACTGTGGATCACTCAGTATTGCCTCTGTGAGCGAGGTCTAAAGGGCTCATGACCAGAAGATTGATTACAAGGGATACACAATTTACTTAAAGCATGGTAAATGAATGCCACGTTTGCTTTTTTATAATACATTTTTACATAAAAAAATGTGTAACATACTTGAAATAAAAATTCAGAAGTAACCTACCATTTGTTTTTGTGCACCATATATGACAAATAAACACAGAAATACTCTGTATCAATTGCATCTTATTTTACAACCAACATAATTACATCAAATAATGTAGATGCCTGATCCAGCCTCTTCTGCAGGAGGGGGCATGTCTGTGCATATAATTGATTAAGCAATGGAAAACGTTATGCATTTCTAAGGACCTAAGATCATTTCATTTTTCCTCAAAATTTCACTTTCTGTCTGAAGTACATTCTAAAACACCTGTCCCCTGCTGACTGGCAAGTCTACCCATGGTCATTTTTAAACATGGTGTACCAGCATGGGTAACGTTTATGTTTAGGTGGCAACAATACAAACTGAATGTGCACGTGTAATAACTGACCTAGGTAGGGTACATCAGGTGTCTCCATTTGGTCAGAAAGGCTTAATACCTGACAGTCATAAGGTTTTTTATTTATCTTTAAAGTATTACTAATTCTATTTTTTTTTTAGGGGAGCAAATGGGAGGAAGGAAGGGAAAAGTCAGATGAAAGGAGTTAATAATTAACCAGCAGCAATGGCTGAAACACTTCTAAAATTATTTCTTCAGAAGTATAAATAGGATCAGATCAGATAGGACAGAATGGAAAACGGGGCTTTTTGTAAGCAACTATACCCATTATTTTTCCCCTGAGACAAACTATTTGCAGTATAGAAGATTGGGCCTGAGGCAACAACACTGTAAGTCAAATTTCAGTCTCACAAGTTTCAGGCTTGTTGATTCCGGGGATGTGCTGTAGGCCCAGCTGTGCAGTGGAAGTGATCATGTTCAAGGCCACTTAAATGTGTTAAATTGTTTAGAAGGAATAAGAAGTGAGAAAGTCTTAGAAAGTCTTATGCCAAGATGCTTGACTGAATCACAGCCCTTGAGGGAAAGAGACAATGTTCTAAAGTGATAGAGATGCCTATGCAGCCTGTAAAGGATATAAGGTATAAAGAAAGGATATAAAGATATGTGGCATTGTAGGACAAAAACTAACATTAGCTAGTAATATTATGAACGAGAACCAGACAAATGAAGGTTATGATATCCGGTGACTTCAGCATTAACAAGAAAAAAAAGTCATCTTGGCTGAAAATCTTACAGAATGAGGTACATATGTTTCTCAGCATGGTATCCGAGAAGAGATGGTCCTTCTTGCAATATGGACCTGTGGATCTAAGTAGCCTATTTCAAAATTATTGCCCCATAATTTTGGGCAGTGGAGGCATGAGCACATGTGCACATTCTTTAGACTTTAACACTTCATTATTGAAGGGAATGTGTTTGTGGATTGCACAATAATTGCTTGTTGGACAGAAAAAGTTGGGGTTTTTTTCCAACACTTATTATTGATGCCGTCAGTTTTGTAAAATAACATGATAACATAAACGTATGCTAGAAATGCTCTTTGTAATACTTTCTTACAGTACATTTTAGAATCAGGAATTCAGTTAATCCCAATAAATCCGTGAGGTGGGAAATACCATAATCCTTGTTTTATAAATAAAAGCTGGACACCTGGAAATCAGAAAACTCATGAAGACGTCTGGATCAGAATCAGGAAGAGACCTGAGGTTTTCTGGATCTTGTGTGGGTGCCTTAACCACAGGAGCCTCCTTGTTAATATTTCTTGTGGTTTTGTAACTTTTTAATAGATTCCCTCCCACCACTCCCACTGCCCATAATCTGCATTTTTCTATTGTTTAGTCCAAAGGTGAAACATCTGTGTTCAAAGATAACAATAAGCACTACATATAAAATTACCCATACAGAACAAGTTAGTATGCCTGTGATGAAGGAATATACAGAGAAACACTGCATCACATGGAGAAATTACCTCAAAGAGAAATTGTAAGTCATACACTGAGCTAAATGAATATCCAAAATGTCAGTGAGGGAAAGCTAAAGGACATAATCCACAAAATGCTGAGTGTATGAATTATAGCCCTTAGCTAAGCCTGATTTGTGTAGCTAGCCCTTACACAGCAGATAACCCAGGCTGACAGTGACCTTGACAGCATTACAGCAGTAATATTTTCTGTAAAGGCTGAACAGTTTTCAACCTGTTTCTCCCGAGCAGGAGATACAAGCGTGTTTGTATTCAACAATGTGGACCAAAGTAATCCTCAGTATGTGCCTGTGAATGATACAAACAGAATACGGTTCTTTAGGCATGCCAAATGCCTCCCTCCCCACATTCTTCTGCCCTTGATAAGATCATTTTGGAGAGCATAAAGAGTGTTGACCTGGTACACGCGTTCCCTTCCTTCTCCCCCTCAACGATGCAGTGCAGAGGGGATCTAGTTCCAAGCCCACTGAGCAACTGCAAGTACTTAGCGACCTTCTCAACCAACACATCTGCCCCTTGGGAACTGCAATTGGTTTTCCTCATCTCTACGTGAAGACAACGCTTTTACAGTATGTTACAGCTACATAGTTGGGTAAATTGTAAGCATTTTCCTCTGTATTGTCCCCACATCTCCTTTTTAAGTAAACATCAGTGAAACCCTAATTCTTAATCATTTGTAGAACAAACTGATGGACTATTCTTGCTTCACTTTGCTGCCAAGCCCTGTGCTTACAATGCTCTGCTTTTCGCTGACTACAGCTGATATTAACTTCTGTGTAAAGCTGCAAGAGGAGTGCTGTTAACTCTCTGGAGCAGTGATGTAAATCCTGAAAAATCCACTCAGGGAATGGGTGGTGGCAAGAGTGACACAGGTCACTGCAAGGAGTGGTGGGTCCTTTGAAGGCTTCATCTTACACCCAAGCCTCATGAGTCCTCCCACCTTTTAATGGAAAAGCTTGCTACGTTCCTGTGGCTGAGTTACAAGTGCATCTGTTACCCTGCAAACAGACAGTGTGGGCTGATTTTAAGCGTTTGCACTGTTATGAGACAGATGTCACAGCCAGTGTAAAAAAACATAAAGAACCCACACAAACCAACCCCATGGACAGATTGAAGATAAGGAGCAACAACTAAGAGACAGGTCCTAGGGGAAACACGGCTTGTGCAAGCCCAGTGCAAACATGGGCTTTGCTCTTTGCAGTCTTTCAGTTGCTTCTGTGACAGGAGTAAGAATAGCCTGTAATGGTTGGGAGTTTTTGTTTGTTTTAAAAGACATTTGTACTGTGTGCCTGAGTTTCCCTACCTATGAATGGCAGTGAATTAGTTCAGGCGTCTTGCATGAGAGATCGGGAACCTGCCAATATCAAGAACTTGCTGCCTACTTGGAAGGAAATTTTTACCCATGTTTTCTTTCACAGGAGAGAATAGGAGGCTTGAATTCCTGGACATTGGCGTTAAGAGACAAGAGAAACTGCATCAACAAGAATTGGTAAGAAGAAAAATACAGGAGTCTCTGCAAATGGTGGGGTCTAGACCAAGCACCTGTAACACAAATGTGTGACAGTTTCCACCCACT